TCTGTAGTCCTCACTGGGAAGGCTTTTTCCTACTGGTGTGGCCCTGTGGTACCAGCTCTATAAACAAGCCACCATTTGTTGCTTTCTAGAAATGAGTCCTTTTAGCTTTGTATGACATTTGGCCTCCTTCTCCTGAGCTGAAAGGTTGGTTTATTTGAGGCTGACAAATGGTGGTTTATGTATTCTCAAAGAACGGCCACAGCCCATCTTTGTTGGAAGCCAAAAGTCTTATCTGGATGGTCCAGGTGAGAAGAAATAGACTTGAAGGTTGAGTGCAAAGCCCACAAACATCTTCCAAAATAGATTGAGATGCGTGTGGAGAGCAATCAAGATCTCAAAGAAGAAGGAAAACAGGGATGCAACTTGGAACCGGAAAGATGGGATAGAGATTGCTTTAAAGGGAAAAAGGAGGGCCAGGCATGGTGGCTCACATGTGTAATCCCAGGTACTCAAGAAGACCTAGGCTCCAGGTTCAAGGGCAGGCGGGACAAAAAGTTATGGAGACCCTATCTCAACAAACAAGCCTGATATGGAGGTGTGTGCCTGTCATCCCAGCTATGTGGGAAGTCATAGGTAGGAAGATCATCTGGGCAGGTCCCACCAGGCCAGCCCCAGGCAAAAACAGGAAACCTGGCCTGAAATATAACTGAAAGCAAAAAAAAAAAAACAAAAAAAATGGGCTGAGGGTGTGGCTCAAGTGGTAGAATGCCTGCCGCAAGCACATGGGCCTGACATGAAACCATAGTACCACCAAAAAAAAAAAAAAAGCAAAAGACAGTGAGACATCAGTACAATGCGCCATAAGGGTGTCTCTCACGACAGAGCGGACATTGTGGATACAAAGCGCATCTCAAACTCTCGCCAGAAGAGGCAAGATTGCCCAGCCGTGCCTCGCAGAGAGCAGCATTTTATTTTAGCATCCAGCCCATCTCTGACTGTGTCCTTGATGCTTCAATCCCTAGCTCTGTGTGAGCTTCTGTGACTGTGTCCTCAGTGTCCCCAACTGAGAATTGGAGATACTGGTAGTAGTGAGGCCAGCTTCATGCGACCTGTCCCTGTGCTCAGAGAGACCCGGCTTGATTTAAGGCACAGCTATTGCCATCTTAGAATTCTTAATATTTCTTTAACAAGGGGCCCCACATTTTCCTCTTGTAATGGGTGGATAAATGATGCCATGCATTGGTTAGTGCAGATCTCAAAGGATTCTGAGTATTAATATTTTATTAAGTATTCCTTGGCTGAATTCACTTTAATTCCTGTTCCTTTTATTATTTTGAATAACCAAGGGGCTAGAGCTGCTTTTTATTTTTTAAATTGCATCATTGAAGAAAGATCTGAGGGAAAAAGGTTGTTTATGTTTATGACTCAGAGTGGCTTACAGGGACTTTGCTGCAAAGTTTCTCCCTGACGCTTACCCTCTCTTCCCCATGAGTTCTGACAGACTCAGACTTCCGTACTTGATTTTACTATATATATATATATATATATATATATGGTGAGAGAGAGAGAGGAGAAAGAGAGAGAGAGGAGAGAGAGAGAGGAGAGAGAGAGGAGAGAGAGAGAGAGAGAGAGAGAGAGAGAGAGAGAGAGAGGATGGAGTTACCACTTAGTTGGAACCACTGGGAAGAGTGGGAGGCAGAGACGAAGATGGAGTTACTCAGTTTTCTTGCAAGATTAAAAATTCTTAAAGGGAATAGCTTAGGGCTAAGGTCTTCTGATTTAACAGCAAAAGCTGAGGGGCAATGTAGGGAAGTCAGGGAGTCATCCTTCAGGTTCCTCTATCTCATGCCCCCCACCACCCAGTCCCACTGCCCCATTTATCCTTCTTCTAAACATCTTTCCAGCTTAGCCCCTTCCCCCTTCCCCCTTCCCCCTGGGCCTGTAGCATATGGCCCAATGCAGCCCTACCTCCTGATCGCACTCCCAGACATCCCTGCAGACCCAGTGTGTTACTGTTTGATTTTTAAAACAGCTTTATTGAGATATATTTCACATACCATATAGCTCACTCATTTAAAATGTACAATTCAGTGGTTTAGAGTCTGTTACATTATTAATTTTTAAGGCTGTGATATATTTATATAACGTGAAATTTGCTGCTTTAACCTTTTTTGATTGAACAATTCAGTAGCTGTAATTACATCCCAAATGTGCATTACCACTGTGCATTTCTAGAACTTCTTTTTTTATCATCCCAAAGAGAAACTCAGTACTCATCGTCAGTACGCATTAAGCTATAACTCTCTGCCCCCATTACCAGCTCCTGGTTACCTCTGTTCTATATTCTGTCTCTATGAACTCGCCAACTCTAAATGTCTCATGTAAGTGGACTCACGCTCTGTCCTTTTGTGTCTGGTTTATTTCTCTTAGCATAATGTCTTCAAGGGTTGTCCATGTTGTAGTCTATATTGGAACTTCATTCCTTTTTATTGCTGAGTAGTATTCCACATTTTCTTAATCCACGCATCCACTGATGGACACTTAGGTTACTTTCACCTTTTGGCTACTGTGACTAGTGCTGTGATGAATGCTGATGTACAAGTATCTGTTTGAGTCCCTGGTTTTGAGTCCCTCCTTTTTGAGACAAGTGTCTCATTACATGGTCAGTCCAGCCTGGCCTGGAATTCACCATCCTCCTGCCTCGGTCTCCTGAGTGCTGGAATTATTGATTTATACCACCACGCATGGCTGGACCCACTTTTTGTTTTTCTTTGGTGTTTTTGGTGGGCCTGGGGTTTGAACTGGGTTTCACACTTGCAAAACAGGTACTCAAAGCAGGTGCTCTACCACTTGAGTCACATCTCCAGTCCATTTCTCTCTGGTTGTTTTTTTGGAGATGGAGTCTCATGAACTATTTGACAGGGCTGGCCTCGAACCCTGATCCTCCAGATCTCAGCCTCCCAAGTAGCAAGGATTACCGGCACCAGCCACCTGTGCCCAGCTTGGACCCACTTTTGATATCTCCAGGCCACTTGCATTCAACAACTTTTTTTTTTTTTTGCAGTGCTGAGGATCAAATCGTGATCTAACCCCCCCCACCCCCACCCCCAGCCCTAACCACAGTAATCTTTGGCCAGTACAAGTCTAACCACACCACTCCTCTGCTTACAACCCTTTGCCAGTTTCACATAAAGACACCAGATACAACAATAACAATGACAAAAGACACCAGATCCAGATGGAAGTACTCACAGAAGCCTCAGGGCCCTGCCAGCCTCTCCAGATCACCACACCCAGCCTTTTGCTTTGCAGAAGATCCTTCTGCGGAGCCATGTGCCTTTCAGATTTCAACACACTGGTCCTTTTCCTAAATTGGTCACCCTCCCCAAACTCCTAGCTTTTGCTAGCTCTTACCTGGCCAGTTCTTCCCATTCTCCTTATCCATAGTGCCTTAGAAAAATTCCCTAACACCTCCCTCCCTCTCTTCTGAGCTACCCCTGTTTTCTTTTGCTCCCATGGTCCCTGGCCTTTCATGACTGTCCGTTCACTGGCATTGACTGGCCAATGTCTGCCTTCCTTGCTGTATGATGACTGTGTCAGCATCCACAGCACCCAGTGCAGAATCCACTACACATTGGAACCCAGTCCATACCTAAACTGGGTGAATGCAGACAGAAAAGAAGGTCTGAGTGTCGGGCAAACTTTACCAGGTGGTTGCCACTTGTTGAGCGTCCTTACCTGCTCTCCCAGTCTACGAAGTGCATTCATGTCTATGTCTCCAGGTCACTGAGAAAGTGACGATTTTATTTTAATGTAGATTTACAAACAAAAATCTCTGTGAGCCAAGTGTGGTGGTGCACACCTGTAATCCTAGCACTCAGATGGCTGTGGCAGGAAGATCGTGAGCTGGAAGCCAGACTGGACTACAACAGCAAGACTCTGAAAAAAAAAAGAAGAAGAGAGGGAGAGAGAGAGAGAGAGAGAGAGAGAGAGAGAGAGAGAGAGAAAGGAAGGAAGGAAGGAAGGAAGGAAGGAAGGAAGGAAGGAAGGAAGGAAGGAAGGAAGGAAGGAAGGAAGGAAGGAAAGAAAGAAAGAAAGAAAGAAAGAAAGAAAAAGAAACATAGCAACAACAACAAAAAAATTTTAAACTTGGACTGGGTCCCGCTAGACAAACTTTAGCCGCCCCAGCCTCAGGTAAGAGGCTGGTCAGCGCAGCCCCTGTGCTAGCACCGTGTGGAACCCAATGTCACCTGCCTCCCCCATCTCTGTGACCCACCTCTGAGAGGGTGCCACTGGGAGGCCACAGCTCCCGGGTGCTTCCTGCAGGCCTCCCCTCCGCACGCCGCGGAGTTTGCGGTTCTGAAGCCGAGGAGGCAGTGCTGCGGCCTCGCCCTTGGGCCTCTATCTTGGTTTCCGCGTCAGGCTCGCGGTGAACTTGGCAGGCCCTGCGGGCGGTGATCGGGAACACTGGGGCCGAGAGCCCTCCCGCCCGCGCCGCCCGGCGGGGACAGCAGCGCCGGGCTGGGGTGGCATGGTCCCCAGGTGCCGGATCCCGCGCGCGGCCCGGCACTGTCACGCACTTGTCCTTGGTTCCCTGGACCTCTTCGCCAGCTGGCTGAGCATTCAAATGTGGGTGACACCGCTCATTATGAAGGATCCGTAAACAGATGCTGTGGCGTATTTTAAAACAAACCTAATTAACGCTCAGAGGCAGTTTGTTCCAGATCAGCGTAACATCCCCAAGTACTGTGACAACCAGCACCCAAAGGAAGCGCAGACCGCGCCTTTTAAAAAGAAACCGGCTCTGGAGCGATCTGACCGGTTTTGAAGGTTAAATTATTCCTGTCCTTGCCGCAACAGTTTAGGCAAATTGCTGGGGCTCAGCCTCCTATTCTGTGACATGGGGTGAGGAATGCTGCGTGCTTGGTGGCTGCAAATGGAGCGCAGCGGGTGGCGGGGACCGTGGAGCGATGATCCCACGCCTCCAGGACCCCGCCTTCCCGCGGTCGGCGCTCGGGCTGCACGCGCTGCCCTGGCTCTAAAGTGCGTCACGGGCATCGGCCTTGCTGCTCGGCGGGCCAGGGTGAGGCTGGCACCCGGCCAGCGCAGGCTGGGCCCTCTCCTGCCCGGGACCCGGGCGTGGAAGGCGCTCAAGTTGCGCAGACCGGGGAGCGCTCATAGGGGCGCCCTCCGCGACCCGCTGCGCGCCAGCGACCGACCTTCGAAGGCTCCCCAGGGACGCGGGGTACACTTTCTCGAAGGTCCCCTTCGCTTCTTCCAGAGTCGCGGCCGCTGAGATTTCCGATCAGGGAAACTACGTGGATCCTTCCTGGGGCTCCTTGCCCCGCCCCGGTTCTCCGCCCCCCTCGGTCCCCTTTTGCCAGGGATCCCGGGCCGGGCCCGTGTCGGGCAGGAGGCTCTGGCAGCCAGGAGGCTGCGGGGGGCCGCTGAGCCACCAGTCACTGACTCGCCCTGCCATGTGACGCCATCCTCCTCTCTGAGATCTCCCGCGCGTCCCCGGCCCGCGCCGCGCACCATGCTCCTGCCCGGATACGCGCGCCCGCCACCCGCGCTCCAGCCCGCGCAGCATCCCGGCCTCCGCAGGCAGGTAGAGCCGCCCGGGCAGTTCCTGCGCCTCTTCTACTGCACCGTCCTGGTCTGCTCCAAAGAAATCGCCGCGCTCACGGATTTCTCCGGTAAGCGCTCCCTCTTCCTTCGCCGTGCGCCCCGGGTCCCGCGGTGAGCCCAGGTGAGCCCTCCGCTGGGGACAGTCGCCCCAGCGGTCACAACAGGGTTGGATTAAAATTGAGCCTTACTCTTAACTACTCTTGTTGCCCCGTGAGGGCCTTTGGCAGATAGTTGGCTGCCTGTGGGGTGGCGGCAGAGGAGCCTCCCTCCCCAAGGAAGGATGTGTGATGCATTTAGAGTTTCTTGCCATGCTGTTGACCTCGTCAGTTTCCCCGTATCAGCGCCCCAGCCCTGGTGGCTCCCTAAACAGAGCCCTGTGAGCGCCCGGCGCTGCGAGATACACGTGTTGTGGTTGAAGTTGTCGCACTTGGTTTGCCACCCACATAGTAAGGGTGCGTCCCAGCCAGCCTCCAGGTAAGGAGACTAGCTCAGGGTACACTGGACCTGCAGCCAGAGAGGGAAACCGCACGGACTGGAGGTCTGGAGGAGATGTGGTCAGAGATGGGGCGAAGCTTACAGAACAGAAAGAACACTCAGGTGCATGACTTTACTGCCAAAAGGAGCCAGCATCCCCCCTTCTCCAATCCCACTTTCCTGCACATAGGCACACATCGACTTCCTCCCCGTCCCCCAGTAAGCTACAGTGATGCTTTTCTTATGCGGACCTCTGATTCGGCTTCCCTCAAGAAATCATGGCAAGTTCCCAGGACGCAGATGAGGTTCCGCAAGATGAAAGAAGTTTCTGGATTGATGATGGCTATAGAACACATGCTGCTTAAGACAACACATGTCCTTACCACCCGGTCTCCTTCTGGCAAGGCTGGAGGCCAGCACCCTTCCCCAGCCCAGCCTAGGAGGAACTGGGAGCCCCACATTATCCTTTCTCCAGGGCTCTCCTTCCAAGGCAGGCTTTGCTTAGACCCCGAGAGGCCCCTGCCGTAGTTTTGTGGGTTTTTTTCCTAGTATAATTGTGGTAAACAGAGTCACTCCTCAGTCCTATTTGTGCAGTAGGCTACTTCATGGCAAAGAACACTGGCAAAGGAGACGCTGAGTTGGGTTTCTGGTTTACTTACAGAGAATGTCATTGTTAGCGGAGAGCCCTTAGGTCAGAGGTTCTTTGCTTTGAATATTTAATATCAAGGCAGTGTTCCTGCCTGGCAAAGGGAGCCAAGATATGCCTATTTGGCAAGCAAACCATAACCCTTAAAATCAAGCCCCAGAGGATCAAAACTGTGGTTAAATGTGCTGGAGAAATGCTTTTTTCAACCTCTATTGATTCTTTTTCTTTCTTTCTTCTGTCTTTCCTTCTTTCTTTCTCTTTCTCTCATTCTCTGTCTTTGTGATATAACTCTCTTGGCTGCTGGAAAGGCTCTGTATTTGCAGATTTAAGCTAAAGTGAGCAGTTCTGAGTTAGCTACTGTCTTGTTCTGATTATTTAAAGGAAGAATTAAAAGCTGACAGGCCCTTTTTTGGGTGACATTGTTGCAACTGAACAAATATTGCTTTAGGCAAATTGGGGTGTAACCATTAGATTGTTTTTCTGCAGATTGTAGACAATGAGAGTTTGTATCTTTAGGAGAGCAGTTGCAATGCTAGTACCATTCTGTACTTTACCATCCAAATCAGGAAGTGTCTGTGTGTAGAAACTGTTATACATAGTAGATCTAAGAAAGCTACATTAACTTGAAAGAAGTGGATGCTTTGGGAAGGGTTCTTAAGGTAATAAGATTGACAAAAGGCTTTTCCTTCTGCCTCTCAGGCAAAACTGAATTCCAGGTTTCAAACTCCCTGGACCAACAGCAACAGGTGGTAGTGTTACCGGATCTATCTATCTTTCCTCTAATTGGTATTGCTCTCCAGGGACTGGAAGAGCTGGGAGAACATGTCAGGGAGCCTTTTAGGAGACAAAAAGAAAGAGAAGGGCCCCCAAATTACAGAACCTCAAGTTTAAATCCAAGTTCTATCTAGTATGCAATCGGGAAACATTTCTAAGTCTCAGGAAGAAACAAAGATGAAGTCTTCCAAAGTTGGCTAATATGACTTGAAACTTAACCCTTTAAGGACCCCAGCCATGTGATCAACAGCAGGGAGGGAAATTCTTTAGCTCTGAAACTGACCGTCTGAATGTCCAGTGTAGGTTGAAAGAGTGGATCCTGACCACATGATTCCCTGTGGTCCCAAAGCTTACTGCCTGCTTTCCTGGGGACAGGCAGTTCTGTTCCTTTTTATGAACTTGGCGGAGTGTGTAGAAATGGAACAGAGGCCTACACAGAGATAGCAGACCCTCCCCCGCAGAGCCGTGCAACAATAGCCAAGGGCTACAGAGCGTGTTTGATAATACAGACGCTTGCTTGTTTTCTAAATGAGGAAAACATCAAAAATGGGTGGAGGATGGAGGGAACCTGGGACCCATTTGCCCTGTGAAGAAGGGAAGATAGTGTATCCGTGCGAAAGAAAGTGCCAGAGTGTCAGGGGTCTTAGCTGCAGCCTGTATGCTGCAGGGCCTCCCTGGAGAGCAGCTATACAGTTTGAAAAAGTTACTGAAGCCTTTTTCTTCCATGCAACTCTTCCCTAAGCCTTTGCCTGTGGCTGTCAGCTGGTGTCATTTTCCTGGGTCATTGATTTTTTTGCCCTGGGGATTCCAGCGGCAGATCTTTTAATAACTCAGAGGCTGCATCACAGCCCCTCCTCCCCTTCCAACCTCATGACTTGTGCAAATCACCTCCAGGTCTGCTGGGAGAAGGGTTCCCTAAACACCCCCTTCTCACTCTTCCCTGAAGATTTTGAGATGCTGCCAGTCACTGAAAGGCCATCATCACTGCATTAAGAATGTATCCCAGGGAAGGCCAGGAGGGTGCGTGCAAAATTAGCGCCTCTGATCCTTAAGCTCATCCTTAAATGTGCTTGGCTTTTATCCATTTTCCTCCTTGGGATGGAGTTCTGTTCTTTTGACTGCATTTCCATATAGAGGATTTGGCCTGAGGTGCCCAAACTGATCACTGATTTTTTTTTTTTAAGAAAGCAAACAGAAGTAAAATGTCATTTTTATCATTGTCATTGTTCAGAGAACAAGGCAGGAAGCTGGAATGTGGAGGGCAAGAGCTGAGAGGAGGGTGGGGTGCCCTTTAGGGTCCTAGCCATCAAAGGTAAGGGATCCTTCCTATTTGATTAACTTTTTAAAAAGTGAGACTTCAGCATCTCTCTCTCTCTCTCTCTCTCTCTCTCTCTCTCTCTCTCTCTCTTTCTCTCAGTACTGGGCTTTGAACTCAGGGCCTCACATTTGCCAGGCAGGCACTTTACCACTTGAGTCACTCTGCCAGCCCGACTTTGTGTTGAGTATTTTGGAGATAGGGTCTCTCATAGTATTTGCCCAGGCTGTCTTCTAACCATGATCCTCCTGATCTCTGTCTCCTGAGTAGCTAGGATTACAGGCATGAGCCACCAGTGTCCTGTTTTAGTGTGTCTCATGGACTTAGTTTGTGATGGACCTTCTGTACTTGTTAATGTTGGGTGAGGAGTTTACTCTTGCTATTTCTCTGAAGGCAAGCTGGATCTTCTCTTTCCTCCTATTTCTTCCCTTTCTGTTCAAAGGGATGGACTTATGGTGGGGGAGGGAAGGAAAGGGTGGAACCTGGTTCTAGTTCCACTTGAATTCTTAGAGAGCTCCTGACTTTGGACAAAGCAATCTTGACCATGTGTTCACGATCTGGTTTTGGTACACAGTGGAGAGTGCTAGAGGAAGGGAGAGGGGATGGGATACAATCATAGTGAGGACATCCTGTAAGGCCTTCCTGTCACTAAATGGCTGATGGAGTGGTTCCTTAGGCCAGGGTTCTGCTATCTGCCATTGGTAGCCCAATAGCAATAGGCAGTACTTGGTACCAGATGTTGGTACCATCTGCTCAGGTGGCCATAACAAAACAGCTCAGAGTGGGTGGCTCTCCAACAGAAACTTACATTCTCACAGGTATGGAGACTAGGAGTGTAATGTCAACATGTGCCAGGGTTAGTTTCTCCCAAGGCCTCTTTCCTTGACTTGTACTTGGCTGTCATCTCTGTGTCCTCACATGGTCTTCCCTCTGTGAGTCTGTGTCCTAATCTCCCTGTATAAGACACCAGTCTGATTGGATCAGCACCCACACTAATGACCTCATTTTAACTCCATCACCTGTTCAAAGACCAGACTTCTACATACAGTCATTTTGCATGTAACTGGAGGTTAGGGCTTCAACGTGTGGATTGGGGGGCATGGGGTGCACAATCGAGTCTATAACACAGATCATCTGAAGTCCAACAAATAAACCCAACTGGTAGCTTCTTATTTCATTGGCTAGGAATTTCAGGATGTAGAAATTCAATGGATCTTGGGAGCCCCAGGGTGGGACTAGGTCCTGATTGAAAAGGGGCATAGTTGTCCAGTTTTAAGGGGTCAAACTTTCCAATTCTGCTGTCATTGTGCATCCCTGGAAGCACTTGGGATGAGCTGATGAGATTAAATGCATGGATGTCTAGCAATACCCCAGGAATTCTGATTTAAGTAACCCAAGAAGAGCCAGACATTAGTGTCTCCTGGTATATTAGGGATTGAACTCAAGGCCTTGTGCTTGCTAGACAAGCATTCTATCACTTGAGCCACACCCACAGACCTCTAACTATTTAGGGTCTCCCACTTTTGCCCATGCCAGCCTCAGACCTGATTTCTGTGTCTGCCTCTTGAGCAGCTGAGATTATAGGTGTGCACCACTACACCTAGCCATAGGTCTCTTTTTTAAAGCTCTAATCAGGCTTGAGAATGCTGCTGCCTGGTGTGCAGAGTGGAGGACTCCTGCCTGTGCATCAGTCTATCCAGAGATACACAAGCATGACTGACTGAGCATCTCCTTCCTCCCCCACCCCAAGGCTTACCACCAGGGAGACTGAGGGGACTGTATTCTCCCAGCTTGTCACTACCTCCCAATACAAACACATGTGCACACATGCATGTGTACACATGCATCTCTGCATTTTA